CACACATGCAAAATCAAAATTCCAATTAAATAACACATCAGTGGAATTCATTTCTTAAATAAATAATGTATTTGCAGCCTTCTGAATTAAATTTTATCATTTTATCATTTATCAAATTTTCATCATATTCTCCCACCTGTCCAGAAAGCTCCTGTTTTCTGCCTTTCTTTTTTTCCATTTTGGGATAGGTAGCATGGCAGTATTTGCATGGTTGCTATGACTATGGTCAACAGAGGAGAGGATGCTAATGGGTCCTGTCATGACTGGCGTGCCAAAACACCAACAGAGCATTCTGGGAATTGTAGTATTAGCAGTACATGCACTGTATAATACTGGCAGGCCAGCTCTAATAGTAATTTTGTATGGCCTCGCGGGCCAAATGTAATTAGGCTGCGGGCCAAATTTGGCCCGCGGGCCAGAGTTTGACACCTATGAGCTAATGCTAGCATGTTAGCTAGCATTGGGTAAGAAACATTTTATTTCTTGTGATAAAACATTGTAACTTTGAAATCGTGTGAGTTCTACTGTAATAGTGTTTGTCTTACATTTGCAGTTGAACCAGAAGCTAAGAGAAAGCACAGAAGAAGAAGAGCCGCCCAAGTCACAGAATTGCACAGACTTGCAGCCTGTTCAGGACTCGGTAAAATACCGCCAACAAACACATAAATACTCACATGCTTGATGACTTGTAATAAAGCATGTATGTGCCTCATTGCTATGTTGCTGCAGCTTCAAACATTGACCTTGCCCTGCTTCTGTTTTTTCCCCTCGGTTTGTCTCTGTCACTCCTTGATCTCTGGCAGTGTCAGTCCACCCGGTGGTACTGGAAACTAGTCCCCGTAAGTGTACTCTTCTCTTCTCTGTTGTCTTCTTTGTCTGTCCATCTGCTACGGCTGACATTATTGTGCCTGCTGGAAATGCCCACACATACCTTTTACCTGTCTCCTCATAAAAAGTGTCCAGTAGACTTATCTTAATACCAGCTGACCGATCTGTTGCCCCATTATGTCCCGAAACTCCTTATTATTGTCAACTGATGCTGTTTTGGACACTGGCTGTTTCTGACGTTGTTACATTCAGTCATCAGTTTCATCTCAAAATGAGCCAGATTTTTAGAGGCGAGGTGGAGGAGGAGTTGTTGAAGAAGGAGGCGACAGAGGTGAAGTGATCTTTATTAAGTGGTTATTAAAAGACATCTGTGCTCCCTTTGTTTGTCCCCTTCCTCTCCTCCTCCTCCATCGCTCTGTCCTCTCCCCCCTGAGCAGACGTTTTTTGGTGTGGCGGTTCCCATGATGAGCGGCCCCCTTGTCATTTATGCTTGTTTCCCTCTCTCTGCCATCCCCCATCCAGCATGCTATCGCTTTTTGTTTGAAGGAGTCGGGGAATAAGCCGCCAGTGGTAACGTATAACACCTCGCTCTTCTCTCACCCTCTCCCCCCACCCCCGCTTCCCGTACCATTGCACTCGACTGACCGACAAACCGACCACTCGCCACACCTCACCTACCACGCTGTCGACCAGTGACTGACCGTACAGCTGACTGCGAGCTAACCACCACTCCAACCTCGAGGCTGGATGGATCACTTTAAAACTCATTAGCCTTTAACACAACTTCTCCATAGTTATCGTTGTGTGTTACAGAGCCTTGTTATAGGAGGCACGGCGCCACTGTGTGCTACCCTTTGAAGCTGAACGCGCCTTCTTTGTCCTGCTCCAACAAGGCTGTGGAACAGTCAGCTTACGTTACAGATGCCTTGTTTTTGGGTTTGTTTATCTCATGTGGACGTCAAAGACTGATGCGGCGTCTGAGCTGCGAGACTCACCTTTTCTTTTTCTTTTTTTACTTTTTTCATTTAATCAATGCCAATTAGAAGCAAAGGCTCACAGTGTCATCAGTGCCCATTACCACTGCATGGACACCGAAAAACAAACATCCTCCTTTTCACGTCTTTCTTTCAGTCTTTTTTGTTTGCAATGTCCCTTTTTAACTGTTGCACTGCACCTTCTGGTTGCTGTGTCTATATGTGTACAAACATGAGGCATCCTTGGTCTTGTGCTTTGTTTCTATGGGCTTTTCTTCTCTTTGCAGTTTTTCCTGGCGTTTGGCTGGCTTCACACTTTAAGTCAATGCTTTTGTTTCTTGTCTGACGGAAACACTACGCTGGCTGATTTTATATTTCCTTTGCTACTTCTGAGTCTCTCTCTGAATCCCTTTAAAAACAACCCGTTTCCCTGCCTTTATACTCTTAGTCTCACTTATTTTTTCTTCTTGCAAAACTTTCTTTTTCCCCCCTGTGTCAATTTTCTTCTCCTTCCCTCTCTTTTCTTATCCAGATCCGCTATAGGAAGGACAAAGTGCAGTCTAAGTTGACTCCCACTTTCCCTCTGGTTTCTGCGGTCAAAGATCTATCTAACGGCTGCGCAATAGCTGCTGTGCTGCACTATTACTGCCCCAGCTTGCTGCCTCTAGAGGGTACACGTTAACTCAGACACTAACACACATGCATAGATGTGCATAGACGTACAGATAGGATGATGAAATATTTATGTTTAGTCAATGTGCGCTTCAAAATACTCGACAGCTTAAGCGATAGGGCTGTAATTTAAAATACAATTTCCTGTAAATGTTGCTTGTTAATGCATTTCGTCTAACTTTTAGTACATCAGTATAGTCACAAAACGCAATAGTGCCTCTCATGTTCTCTATTTAGATTTTGCTTTTAAAAAAGGGTTTAAAAAGCATCTTTTATCTTGATTTGAAGCAAATATATTTAATGTTCTCTTTGACAAACATCTGGAAGCAGCATTGTTCCATTGTTTTTCCATTGTTTACTCCTTCCAGATGTGTGTCTGAAGGATACCATGTCAGTAGCTGACTCTCTCTACAACCTGCAGCTGATCAAAGAGTTCTGTGAGAGCAGCTTGCAGAGCTGCTGCCCCCTTGCTGTGGAGGATATGCTCTACGCGCCACTGACTCTGCACGTAAGCGTCACGGTCTCTGACATTAAACTGTTGTTAGTTAACAGAGAAACTTTGTATGGGTGTTTACTCCTAACTTAATCCTTTCTATAGGCTGAAAAATGTTTGTGGTCTGAATGTAAAGCAGTTCGTTTCAATTTAAACCACTAGAGGGCAACAGAAGCCAGCTTTTAGAGTGAAAAGGTATAACATTATGACCACTGACAGGTGAAGTGAATTAAACCGATCGTCTCTTCATCATGGCGTGAGTTGGTGGGATATACTAGAGAGGAAGTAAAGACTTTGGCTTCAAAGTTAATGGGTTAGCAAGAGAAAAATGGGCAAGGGTACAGATTTGAGCGAAGGGCTAAATTGTGATGGCTCCATGATTGGGCCATAGCGTCTGCTAAACTTTAAAAAGGGTTTAAAAAGCATCTAAACTCGTGTTGGGTGTTTCTAGTCTGCAGTGATCAGTATCTGTCAAAATGTAGTCCGAGGGAGGAAAAGTGGTGAACCAGCAACAGGGTCATGGGCGGCCAAGGCCACCTGATGCATGTGAAGAGTGAAGGCTGGTCTGTGTGGTCTGATCCAACAGACGAACTATTGTAGGTCAGGTGGTAGAGTGGATCACCTACTAACCGAAAGGTTGTTGGTTCGATCTGCTACAGTCTGCATGCCAAATATCAGATAGAGTAGAAAAGCACTATATAAGAACCAGTCCATTACGAAATTGCCAAATAAGTTTCTGCTGGTTCTGATAGAAAAGTGTCAGAGTACAGAGTTCATGACAGTTTGTTGTGTATGCGGCTGCATAGCTGCAGACCAGTCAGGGTTGCTGTCCACCACTGAGAGCACCAACAATGAACACATGAACATCAGAACTGGACCATGGAGCAACGGTAGAATATGGCTTGGTCTGATGAATCACGTTTTCTTTTATATCAAGTGGATGACGGTGTGTGAGGGAAGAAGCCAAGCCGGCAGAGGCAATGTGATGCTTTGAGCAACGTTCTGCTGGGAAACCTTTGGTCCTGACATCCATGTGGATGTTACTTTGACTCGTACCAGGTACCTAAGCATTGTAGCATGACATTACCTTATGGCTATTGCCACTTAATATGCCCTGCCACAAAAATGATTCAGGAATGGCTGGAGGCACACAGCAGTGAGTTTGAGGTGTTGACTTGGCCTCCAAATTCCCCAGATCTCAGTCCAATCAAGCTCCTGTGGGATGTGCTGGACAAACAAGTCTGATCCATGGAGGCACATTGCAGCTTACATGACTTAAAGGATCTGTTGCTAACATCTTGGTGCAGATACCACAGCTTCAGGGGCCTAGTAGAGTCCGTGCCTCAACAGGTCAGGGCTGTTTTGGCAGCAAAGCGGAACAACACCATACTGGCCAGGTGGTCATAATGTTATGTCTGAAAGGTCTATCTTATAGTTATAGTAATATAGTTATCTTGAATCTGAGGCGTGACATTAAAGTAATGTATTCAGTGCTGATGCTGTCTTCATAATGTCCATATGTAACGCTAACACACTCTTTTCCTCAGCTTAACATCATGAGCTTCATAGCAGAGCTGCTGGAGTGGTTTGAGATCAAGAAACCTGATTTTGTCCAGCCCGTACAGCCCATTGACCTCACAGGTTTGTGACTTCACCAC